TCCTTGCAATCTCTCCCACATTCTTATCAAGGATATGTTAGAGTTGCTTAGATATATAAAATTTTCACATTTCAGGCTGTTCAAGGAATCACCCCATCCTGATGAAAAGCAGAGGGAGCAACTGAGCAAACAATTAGGCCTTGCACCAAGGCAGGTCAAGTTCTGGTTCCAAAATCGTCGAACTCAAATTAAGGTAGTACATCAGAAATTTTCATATGGTTTTCTGATATTCTGCATTCTGGTTTTAAATTTCTGCAATGGCAAATAATTAATTTTATGATCTATTGAACTATTTTGGTTTTGAACCGTAATGGAATGGACTACAGGCTATACAAGAGCGGCATGAAAATTCTTTGTTGAAACAAGAGATGGATAAACTCCGTGAAGAAAACAAAGCCATGAGAGACACCATAAATAAAGCCTGCTGCCCCAACTGCGGCACTGCTACCACCAGCAGAGACGGTGCCTTGACTACGGAGGAACAGCAACTCCGCATTGAGAATGCCAAACTTAAAGCCGAGGTAAACATATACATATATCCAGGCACCACAACAAAAATGGTAAAGTAATGGCGCTTCATGTTGAAAGGATTTTGATTTGATTCATATATATAGGTAGAGAAACTGAGGGCTGTCATCGGAAAATACCCGTCGGGAGGAGCAGGAAACAATTCATGCTCAGCTGGAAATGATGACCAAGAAAATAGAAGTTCTTTGAATTTCTACACTGGGATCTTCGGGCTTGAGAAGTCCAGGATTCTTGAGATTGTGAATCAAGCGATGGAAGAACTTAAAACAATGGCTACAGCTGGGCAGCCACTCTGGGTCCGGAGCGTTGAGACCGGTCGGGAGATACTCAACTACGACGAGTACGTTAAAGATTTTCCGGTAGAAAGCTCCGGCAATGGGAGGCCGAAGAGATCCATTGAGGCATCCAGGGAGACCGGAGTCGTTTTCGTGGATCTCCCTAGGCTTGTCCAAAGTTTCGTGGATGTGGTAATTTTTTCCTTTTAACAAATTTTAAATCTAAATAAAGCACAAAAAATTCTTCCTAAAAAATGGAAAATTAAAAACCCATGATTTTTTTTTTTTTTTTCAGAATCAATGGAAAGAAATGTTTCCATGCTTAATTTCAAAGGCGGCTACTGTAGATGTAATTTGCAATGGTGAAGGTGCTAATAAAAATGGTTCTGTTCAACTGGTGAGTAGACTCCTACCTCTGCAATTTATTTGCATTAATCAAGAATAGATTAGCGGTTTAGTTATAATGACATAAAATTGTGCTTATATGGCTGCAGATGTTTGCGGAGCTACAAATGCTAACACCGTTGGTGCCCACCAGAGAAGTGTATTTCATCCGGTACTGCAAGCAGCTTTCTGCAGAACAATGGGCAATAGTTGATGTTTCCATCGACAAAGTTGAGGAAAACATTGATGCATCCTTAGTCAAATGCAGAAAGCGCCCCTCGGGATGTATAATTGAAGACAAATCCAACGGCCACTGCAAGGTATATATATTCATGCTTTCATGTTAAGCACAATAGTGAACCTTTTTGTTTATTCAGCAAGCTTGGAATTCAGTTATCTTAATGTTTTTCAGGTGACTTGGGTCGAACACCTTGAGTTCCAGAAAAGCACCGTTCATAGCATGTACCGGACCATTGTTAATAGTGGGCTGGCCTTTGGTGCAAGGCATTGGATGGCAACCTTGCAGCTCCAGTGTGAGCGGCTTGTCTTCTTCATGGCAACCAATGTTCCAACCAAGGATTCAACCGGTTAGTGTTCATTTCCGAGACCAATGCTTGTATGTTAGGAGATGGAAATTCATGATTTACGTGAGTTATGACATATTTAGGTGTTGCAACATTGGCTGGGAGGAAGAGCATACTGAAGTTGGCACAAAGAATGACATGGAGCTTCTGTCACGCCATTGGGGCATCCAGCTATCACACATGGAACAAGGTTTCCACCAAGACAGGGGAGGACATAAGGGTTTCTTCCAGGAAAAACTTGAATGATCCTGGTGAGCCTCTTGGACTCATTGTGTGTGCAGTTTCTTCAGTTTGGCTGCCTGTCCCTCCCAATGTCTTGTTTGATTTCTTGAGAGATGAAGCTCGTCGCAGTGAGGTACTACTACTATCCTAGCATTGACAGTTGACTCTTACTAGATTATATGAACAAAATCATAATAAGAGTTCTTAAGTTTAGATGTTTAACAATCTTGTGTACATTCAGTGGGATGTCATGTCAAGTGGAGGTCCAGTACAATCTATAGCAAACCTTGCTAAAGGGCAAGATCGAGGCAATGCAGTAACCATTCAAGTAAGTTCTCTATCTCAAAGGAGTGAATATCAAGAGCGCAGAATATGCCTTTTCTCAATCACCTGGGGTTCTAACTAGAATTCTGTTTCCTCTTCAGACAATGAAGTCAAAAGAGAACAGTACGTGGGTACTCCAAGATACCTGCACAAATGCTTATGAATCCATGGTGGTTTTTGCCCCTGTGGACATATCTGGCATGCAGTCTGTCATCACCGGATGTGACTCCAGCAACATAGCTGTCTTACCTTCAGGCTTCTCCATTCTACCAGATGGTCTCGAGTCGAGGCCACTAGTGATCACTTCCAGACAAGAGGAAAAGAGCACAGAAGGAGGATCTTTGCTCACGGTAGCAATCCAAATCCTAACAAACAGCTCTCCAACTGCCAAACTGACGATGGAGTCTGTGGAGTCCATCAACACACTCACTTCATGCACATTGAGAAATATCAAGACAAGCTTGCAGTGTGAAGATAGTTAATCACAGTAATTTTGTTAGTTGGTAAGACATTAATTGTAAAACTGATAGGTTTCTTCTTTTTCTTCTCTGCGACTTATAGCATTAAGGAAACGAGCTATTTTTATGTGGGCATGTTTTATTATTGCCTCTTTGGTCAGAACAGATCGTTTGGACATCAGGGATATTTTTAGTGCACATGCCGAGAAGGGGGAGTTTAGAATTAAAATCTATATAGATTTAGGAAATTGAGAATTTTATGTATATGATTATTATTCATTAATGTTATTTTTCAGTTGTTTTGATTGTTTAAGGCCAAAACAAACTCAAAAGACAAATTATTAGACATCATAGAAGGAAAGTAGAATGTGGATATTTATTTCTTTACATGCATTGTACAGCAGAGAGTAAAACAAGGATTATCAGTATGTTTGCAGTGTTTCTTGGGGGTTTTTTTTAAAGTGCTGGAATCGCAAGAGATATCCAAACAATAGATGGTTCAGACTTCAGAGAACTCATAAGTACATACCACTATACAGAGCAAATGGCATAGCACCACAAGAGGAATACAAAGTTACAAACTCAATCATAATTTAAAATTTACTTATGAAACCAATAAAGAACCTACACAAATATCATCAGTTAAAGCATCTCATGTTGCAACCTGATTCCTGAATGCATTGTTATGCATCAATGACAGAGATTTCCTTCTAGACATTTCCTCACCAATCAGACATTTTTCAAAATCAAGATGATAATTCAACAAGCTCATGCCAAACGGATGCCCTTATTGGCATAACATCAAATACCTAGGGCACTTACCTATAAAGTCTAGTAACTAAATTCTTAAAAAAACACAATATCAGGATTCCTATTTTTCTTCCATTTTTTTTTTAAGTTCAGAAAAAGAACTAAATGTTAAGTTGTTAACCTATTCAATTAGACATCAATCTCAATGTCATTTACATTTCAATCTGTATTTCGACTCAAGATTATAAATGAACATCATACATGAGTTATTCTTTCAAACTCTGCCAATATTTCCCACTCACAGTTTCATTTCTCAATCCTCTTCCAATTTGATGTTTTCTAAATTATACTCATCTCTAATTGCATCTTATTTGCACTTAAATCTTAACTTAGAAAAATCTGCACATATTCACCAATTGATATTTCATAAAGACAGTCAATTTCATTATTCATACCCATAAACAACAATTGCATTCAAAAGCAGTATCAGAACATAAGATTACAAGAAAACACTAAAAACAATTCCAAAATATCATAAATTACCAAAATGAAGATCCCACTAAGCCTGCTGCTCTTGCTGCTGTTGAGACTCCAACGTAATGCCAAGCTCCCCGCCCTCCTCAGCCTTCTTCTTCCTCACATTCCTGCTCGGAACAGGAACCGCCAGGAAAGTCTTGGTCTTGCTAATAGGCTTGCACTTTTCAAGCTGGACGAAATCACCCACCTTGAAAACGTTATCCGGGTCATGAGCCTGGAACTTCTTCTTCTTCCTAACGCGCCTCTTGTACTTAGGATGCGGGGCCAACCGCACCACCTCAACGGACACCGTCTTGTCGTTGGTGGAGCAGACCACGCGGCCCTGAATTGTTTTCAAGGCCCTGATCGGCGAGAGGAAATTGGGGCTTTTGGGGAGTTGCGGGGAGAGAGATGAAGAGGGCTTCGAGAGAAGGGAGAGGGAAGTGGTGCCATGGAGGAATGGCGTTGATAGCTTGAGGGAGTGGAGTGAGGAAGTGAGGGACATTTTCGTTGAAGAAGGAGATAAGAAGGGTAGCTTTTATCGGTTCTGGATGGCTTGGAGTCGGAGCGGAAGACCGGATGGAGTTAGGATCGTGTGTGGTAGGGTACATATTGGAACGGTGAGGTGCTTACGTGTCTTGTTATAAATTCTTAAATCTTCCAATTAATTCATAAAAGTACTTCAAAATAATTTTTTATGTTCCATACGTAAAATATTTTAAAGCGATTTTCATCAAGAAAGAATAAAACCGCTAAACGTCTAATTCAATAATTATGAGTTTAAATTTTTAAATTAAAAATCTCAATTTAAATATTAAGTCAAGTGATGAGAAATTTAAAAAAAATTTATTATTATTTTTTGTATAATCCATCAAATATACAAAAAAAATAGGAAAAATAAAAATACTCTATTTTTTTACAACATGGTATTTAAAAATGTAAATTTAATATAAATAATTAATTTTAATTATTGTTTTATACAACATGTTTTTATTATTTTTAATTAATATTATTTTTTCATATAGAAAAAGAAAAAAATAAACTTATGGCTACAATATATAGGGCAGCACTTCATTTTGTTCATTGTTTTTATAGACTTTTGTCACAATATCTTATTTAAAAATATAAATTTATAATTCTTAATTAATTTTAATTAATTTTTTTATTTTTATTAATTTTAATTAATATAGCTTATATTTTTGAGATAGTAAAAAACAAAAAGAACTTATAACCATAGTACGACGGTTGAGACAAACGAAGCCTTACTCTTTTAGGAGCATAAAGTGGAAGTCACAAAGAACTGTATAGTTTGGTGCAACCATAATTGTTTATCTAATCTCTTTCCTTGTTAATCAAACAAAAGGCAGAGCAAAACAGAACCCCATTTCCACTGCTAACTCCTACCCTAGCAGGTTTTTATCATCATGTTGACTATATCTATACATACGTACTATTTTTAGCACAACAACAATTTTATGCTTGTGTGAGGGGCGAGGCCAGTGTTTAATCCTACTGTGGCTTAACTCATTTCATGTTCTTCTCTAACAAATTTCAGCCTTAATGTTCTGAATGTTGACCCAGCGCATTGATTGATAGTGATACCATTCCATGTTATCTGTTTCTTAAAGAATGAACAATACAAATGCGTATGCCTGGCGCAGAAGTCCTCAAGATAGTCTATACATATGCGTATGTTCACAGAACATCTAAGCTCTTGCCCATCAAAAATGGAAATTTGGAGGGTAATTAGAGGGGTGAAGGTTTTGTTTCTCTGTGTTTTGTGTTTGTTCTTTGCATGCTTTAATAATGGAGAACAAGGGAAAAAGGCAGGTGGGCTTGAGCTGCCCTTCTATAGAAGAAGCTGTGCTGTTGCGGAGATGATCGTGAAACAGGAAATGAAAAGATGTATACTTACCGATCTTTCTACTGCTGCTGCCATTCTTAGACTAGCTTTTCATAACTGTCAAGTTGATGTACGTATTCAATCTCCATTTTCTTTAAAGAAATTTTGGTATATCTCAGTTAATCTCAACCTTTTTCCTTTTTGGTTTTTTGAAGAGTTGCGAACTTGCGATGGCTCAATTCTTCTGGAGGAACCAAATCACTCCAAAGCTGAACTACAGTTTAAGAAGAATTATGGAATAAGGAAGCTGGATGTTATCATCCAGATAAAGAGTATCCTCGAAGGTGTCTGCCTCCAAACAGTTTCTTGTGTTGATATTATTCAGATGGCAGCAAGAGAGGCAATCTTTCTGGTAATTAACTATAAGACAATCAAAACCATTACATATCCAGGCATTAATGTTATGAAAGCCTTTCCCCTGAAAGCTAATCATCTATGCCTCGGTCTTTCTTGCACAAAGTAAAGGTTTTGAATTTGAATCATAATATTCAGAATGGAAATGAAATCAATAACAAAAGGGGGTTATTTTCCCATTTTTTAACTTTTTAATATCTCCTTGTCTGATTCAATTGAAAATCTTGTTAGGCATTAATCTGTCCTTTTTTATTTGCAGACTGGCAGACAATACATAGAGATTGTGACAGGGCGCAGAGATGGAATTTCTCTTTGCAAGAAAAGTGCTGATTATCAACTTCCAGCAACTAACATACCTGTCAATGAATTCATAGAGATTTTTCAACAAAAGAGTATCGGTATAGAATCTATGCCTAGAGTATGGTATTTTCATTACCTTAATTCTTTGCATATAACAAGTAGACTTATGTTACTACAACCATTTTTTTCCCAATTCTCAATTTGTTTTAATGATTGGCTGCTGGGGCTCAAACTCTAGGCATAGGCCACAGCCGGAGCTTTGAGGAGAGGCTGAGGCCAGTGACTGATCCGACTCTGTCTCCAACCTTCTCCCTTGCAATGTAAGCAATCTGCAACAGCCCTGCTTTGTATGATATAGCATTTTCTCAAAATGATGCCACCACATTCTCCTTCGACAATAGATACTTTGCTGACATTCAGAGTGGAAGGGGGCTGTTTAAGATTGACTCTAGGATTGCAAGAGATCCAAGGACACTGCCTTATGTTGTGAAGATTGCAGAGAATATGCAGGGCATTTCTTTGATAGGTTCTCATCTGGATTCTTGAAGGTCTTTAGATACAAGGTTTTTGGTAGGAGAGGATGGAGAGATTGCGAGGGATTGCAGATTTAGGAACACCTAATATATAAGAACTGTTTCTTGTTGCCTTTTTGGTGCCATGATTTGTGGCTTGAAATTTAAAAATCATAAATGTGTGTGGATCTAAGTTCCAACTTTTACATTTATGTTTCTTTGAGTAAGAAGAATTTTGAGGAAAAGAAATATTATAATTATATTAAAATAGACTTAAATTTTAGTATGAGTTAAAATATTTGATGTATATTATCAACTCACAAGAATTAATAATATAATACTTTCAACCTGAAGTGGTTTGTACTTGTAGTGTGCATCACCATACCAATGACCTGATTGTAATTCCCCTCCTTGCCTAATTATAACGGCAAAAGTCTACTTTTAATCCCTCACTTTATTAAATTTAAAGGTTTTAGTCCCTCACTTTATATTATGATATTTTTAGTCCTTTACATTACTAAATTTGTAAGTTTTAATCATTTACCTTATATTATGACATTTTTAATCCTTTAACTATTAAAATTAAAGAAAATAACTCTTAGTTTGTAACATTTTATTAATTCTGTTAACTGATTTGTTAATTTTATTAACTGACTGTTAGTTGACTGTTAATTCTATTAACTGACTGTTAATTGATTGTTAATTATCAAAAACCTTCTTTCAGCTAATAGAGTTAATAGAATTAAGTTTATAATATTTCGTTAATTCTGTTAATTGGATATTAATTGACTATTAGTTGATAAAAATTTATTTTCAGTTAATACAGTTAACAGTCAGTATAAAATGAGGGTTATTTTTTTTTTATTTTAATAAATGAGGGGTTAAAACTTATAAATTTAGTAAGATAAGAGATTAAAAATATTATACTACAAAATAAAAGACTAAAACTTTTAAACTTAATAAAATGAAAAGCTAAAAATAAATTTTTACCCAATTATAACATGGTTATAAAAAAGCCTTATGATACTTTTGCAAAACTGATGTAATCTTAAACAAAATGAAAATTAACTTATGTTCAAATAAAAACAATAAAAATGTTCAAATAAAAACAATAAAAATGTTCAAATAAAAACAATAAAATCCTTTCTCATAAAATTTCCGGAGAGAGATGAGGATCACGGAAGGGATAGGCTTATCTATCTCGAATCCACTTGTCATCAAGTAAATGGGACTCAATATCTCTCTCAAGAAAACCCAGTTTGCCACGTGTCAAGTTAAGATCCCCTCAAAAATTAAAAACCCCGAAGCCTGGCGTTCCACTGCCAACTGGAACTAGCAAAATCCGTGAGGCACCCATAACCAAGGCCATGGCATCTCTCGCAACCTTAGCCGCTGTCCAACCGATCACCGTCAAGGGCCTTGCCGGCAGCTCCTTCACGGGAACCAAGCTCTATGTCAAGCCCGCCCGTCAGAGTTTCAAACCTAAAAAGTATAGGTAAAAACAATGTCAATTTTCCCTCCTTAGCATGAAAAGTTACGTTCTTTGAGTTAATTACAAGCAAATTTGCTATATGGTGCTAATCTCTGGCTAGTTCTGCGTTTCTGTTATAGGGCTGGTGCTGTGGTTGCAAAATATGGGGACAAGAGTGTGTATTTTGATTTGGAGGATTTGGGCAACACCACTGGGCAGTGGGATTTGTATGGATCTGATGCTCCCTCACCATACAACTCTCTCCAGGTTTGATTCCACACACCATTTCTGACCCTTGTTTTTGTTGAATTGAACTTGTAGATGGGAAAGATTGAGAAAATAATTCTATAATCTATACAGTACTTGATATTCTTTCACAATAATTTGGAAAAAAAAAAGCCTTTCTTATGAATGTTAAGAAAGAGAGTACTTTTAAGCCAAATTGTGAAGTTAAATTTGCTTATTAGTAATTAAATAAGTGAAAAACCAAACCTTCAACTCTTGATCACACCGATGCATTGAATGGAAAGTAGAGATCCATTCAACTCTTAGCTTGTTACTTAGGTCCGCTGTAGGACAACCACGGGTTGCACTTCTCTGATGATGTGCATTACCAGAAGGGCGATTGTTATTTTAAAGGAACATGGAAATATCTCTTTATTATTATTATTATTATTATTTTTGGGGGGGTGGGTTTGTGGAGAGGGGGTATGTGTATGTGGCTGAGGGAAGAAGTCTGAAGTCGGCCATACACTAGCTAGACACAGCTGGAAACTTTAAAAAAGACTCAGTAATACAGTCTTCTCAGTGCAACAGATTGTTTATAATTTATATTTGCTAGCATTTGCTATCCCATGACTATTTCTTGTACCATGGATATGTAGCAAAATTCGAATGTTTAACTTCAATTATGCTCAAATTTTGATTTGCAGAGCAAGTTCTTTGAGACATTTGCAGCTCCATTCACCAAAAGAGGGTTATTGCTCAAGTTCCTGATCTTGGGAGGTGGTTCCCTCCTCCTCTATGTTAGTGCCACAGCCTCAGATGACCTCCTTCCAATCAAGAAGGGGCCACAACTTCCACCAAAGCTCGGACCACGTGACAAGATCTAAATTTCGTCAGACCTTCCACTTAGCTTTCCACTGTATGTATCTGTTACTCTGGAAACTTGTGTAACTCTGTCTAAGTCCTACTCATAACTTCTTTCTTATCAAACCAATGAAATTCTTTTTCGAGTGTGATTTTGGCATT